GTAGCGGGCTAGCATTGTGAATTGGGCGGGCTGGCGGGCCAGCCGGCTTAACTGTAAAACTTAACTGATTCAACATGAAAACGTTATGAAACATTTCCTAGCAGTGTGAAGTGGGCGGGCTAACAGTGTTACGGGCTAGCAGTGTGAACTGAGCGGGCTGGCGGACCAGCGGGATAAACTTAAATACTTAATTGAATCCCTATTAAAACCTCATGATACATTTCCAAGCAGTGTGAAGTGGGCGGGCTAACAGTGTAGCGGGCTAGCATTGTGAACTGGACGGGCTGGCGGGCCAGCGGGCTAAACGCTACTACTTAATTGAATAAAGCAGTGTAACAGTGTAGCTTGTTAGCGGTACAAATTCAGCGTGCTAGCAGTCTAGTGGTCTAAATTCCATAATAAATTATTTTAACACTAAAACGTTATGATGCATTTGCTAGCAGTGTGAACTCGGCGGGCTAATATCACAGCAATTGCTCCATGAAGTACTGAAACCAAAACTGTTATACTTTAAGCCCAGCCAATTCCACGTAAAATCCCCATATAGTGAGGAAACTCTGATGGTACATCTGTCGGTATCGGTATGCCGTCGCTTTGTGGTTTTTTCACAATTTGACATTCGTAATTAGATTTGTGAAGATAGTGCAGGAAGTACAGAAGATGGCCCATTTCAGAAGCATACCTGGATCTTTTATGTGCCCGGTGTAAAGCACCGATACACGGGACCTCGGTTTAAAGTCCGATCCGAAAGACTGTTGGTAATATAAGGGAGGAGCGGGGGGTCGAGCTCAAGACCCCCGGATTATATATATGTATTAACCACCAGACCACAGATCCGCTCCTAAATAAATCGCTAGATTCCTAGATGTCCTTACATTTATGGACAAGCTTTTGTTCTGCTTCACTACATGAGGTTCCACATTTGATTGCCCTACTACTAAAATCTTATGTTGCAGTGTGTTTTTCTGTTTCAGTTAAGATTGTCGTTTTTTCTGTATATAATACATCATTTGAATATCAATACTGATTTTAAAACATTTAGTGTACATATTTGTGACAATTCTCAAGGACCGTGTATACCATATGAATCAAACAGTGTTAGCCCGCCGAGTTCACACTGCTAGCAAATGCATCATAACGGTTTAGTGTTAAAATAATTAATTATGGAATTTAGACCACTAGACTGCTAGCACGCTGAATTTGTACCGCTAGACCGCTTCACTGTTAGCTCGCCGAGCTTACACTGCTGGGGAATGTATCATAAGGTTTTAATGTTTTATTCAATTTAGTATTAGCGTTTAGCCCGCTGGCCCACCAGCCCGTCCAGTTCACAATGCTAGCCGATACACTGTTAGCCCTCCCACTTCACACTGCTTGGAAATGTATCATAACGTTTTCATGTTGAATCAGTTAAGTTTTACAGTTAAGCCGGCTGGCCCGCCAGCCCGCCCAGTTCACAATGCTTGCCCGCTACACTGTTAGCCCGCCCTCTTCACACTGCCAGGTAATGTATCATAACGTTTTCATGTTGAATCACTTAAGTTTTAGAGTTAAACCCGCTGACCCGCCAGCCCGCCCAGTTCACACTGCTAGACCGCTAAACTGTCAGCCCGCCCACTTCACACTGCTAGAAAATGTGTCAACTGGAGTGCAGGTATTAGAAAATGTTTAAATGTGGATTCAATTAAGTATTAAAGTTTATACCGCTACCCCGCTGGCCCGCCAGCCCGCTCAGTTCACACTGCTAGCCAGCTACACTGTTAAGCCGCCCACTTCACACTACTTGCTAGTTTTTTTTATGCGTTTATTTAAGGTCGCCGCCGGAAAGCCCATATGGGCGACCGTACACTCAAGTCGGGTCATCCTAGAGCGTGCCGCCGAGATTTTTCGTCGATTTTTTTTCCAGCTTTATTGGTGGAGGAAGACCCCAGGTGCCCCTCCGGGCATTATTTCAGGCACGAGCGGGCACCTGGATAGAACCACCGACCTTCCGTAAGCCAGCTGGATGGCTTCCTCACATGAAAGATTTCGACCCGAGTGAGGATCGAACCTACAGAGGTGAGGGACCTGTGATCACAAGTCAGCGACTTTAACCACTCGGCCACGGAGGCCCCTACTAACTGCTAGGATATGTATCATACCGTTTTATGTTGAATCAGTTAAGTTTTAGAGTTAAACCCGCTGGCCTGCCAGCCCGCCCAGTTCATACTGCTAACCCGCTACACTGTTAGCCCGCCAACTTCACACCGCTAGGAAATGTATCATAACGTTTTCATGTTCATTCAATTAAGTATTAAAGTTTGGCCCGCTGGCCCGCCAGCCCGCTCAGTTCACACTCCTAGCCCGCTACCCTGTTAGCCCGCCCACTTCACACTGCTAGGATATGTATCATAACGTTTTCATGTTGAATCAGTTAAGTCTTATGGCGCGCCAGCCCGCCCAGTTCACACTGCTATACCTCTAGACTGCTAGCCTGCCCAGTTCACAGTGTTTAGACCGCAGGACTGCTAGCCCGCCCAGTTCACACTGTCAGCCCGCTAGACTGCTAGTCCGCCCAGTTCACACTGTTAGCCCGCTAGACTGTTAGCCCGCTCAGTTCACACTGTTAGCCCGCTTGACTGCTAGCCCGTTACCCCGCGTACTTCACGGCCATCGATCGCCAGATAATCTGAATTGTACGATAGAGCGTACCCCCCCCCCCCCCCCGAGTGTAAATCAGAGTGCCAAATGTTTTGATGTTCTTTCTCGTTTGTATCATTGGAACATTAAAACACATTCCCTGATGTCACAAAAAGTAAACCCCAGAAAAAAAAATGAGCCAATCAATTGGCATGCTCTGGAGTGCGGTTACTAATGCGACAGTGCGATAGTGCGATGACGACAGTACGAAAGTGCGATGACGACATTGCGATAGTGCGATGGCGGTAGTGCGATAACGCAATGACGACAGTACGATAATGCGACAATGCGATAGTGCGATGGCGACAATGTAATAATGCGAAAGCGACAGTGCGAAAATAGGATGGTGACAACACGATAGTGCGAGATAGTACTATCGCGTTGTCACCATTGCGGTATCGCACTGTAGTATTGTCGTCATCGCAATATCGCACTGTCGCATTGTCGTCATCGCATTGTCGTATTGGCGTCATGGCAATATCGCACGGTCGCATTGTCGCCCTCTGTTTTGTAAAGTGTTTAACATGATAGTAACGTCTAAATAAAATTGTAAATTAATAAAAAGTAACATTTTATATCAAAAGAAAAAATACTTAACGAGTTATATAAAACATACACGGAATATGTAATAAATTGTGTAAAACTTTAAAAGAAAGTCGAAAGATTGCAGATGAAAATAATGTAAGCCATAGTTAATTACATTTTCTCTTTAAATGTTTGTTATTCGTGTTACCAGTATTTTTTTCAAATGTTCCTAAAGAGACTCCACTAAGGTTTAAAAGCCTAAAAACATAACATTTGAATTTCTTACATAAATGAGCTTGGGCACTTTTAACAGAAATATATGCAAAGATAGTTCAGAAATATACTTTGAAATGAATTGAAAATCGTATGGTTACGCTTATCTTTGCCCTATTTGAGTGAAAAACGTTTAAACGCTTTTCATTTTAGGTCATTTTTTTACAATTTGAATAATTATTCTGGAAAAACAAAGTGCGCGAATGATCTGAAATTGTCTACAAAGATCATTGGTCTAAACCTACATCAAATGGTACATTTATCTGGAAAAAATATTTTCAGTCCCATCATGTCAAAAATCCTCAGTGAAGTCCCTTTAAACAAATTTCTAAATAGAGGAGTATTAGTATTGTCCATTGATTTAATCATTTTAAAATTACACAGACTTTCCAGCGTCACTGCTGGCGGGAGACCGACCACCGACAAACTTGATAGGCTCCGAGCACAGAAAACAAACCAGCGTCCCTGTCGGGATTTGAACTTATAACGGTCAGTTACAAATGTTTTTAAGTCAGCGACCATAGCCACTCGAACACGGATGTACCGGCATTATAACCATCCGTCAACTATGAACTTCTGGTACGACCATCGGGATTATATTGACTTTTAATGAACATGTGCAACTCAAAAATACAAAAAATCGCAAAAATACAAAAATCGCGAAAAGTAAGATAACAAAAATGCGAAAGTACTATGAAAAAAAAAAAAAATAAATAAAATGGTAAATAATAAAAAACAACGTCGTGATGAAATGCCATGACATTTCACGTCTCCGTCATAGTATATTCCTTGTCTGTCGTGTTATTTCTTATTTTTCTTTATTTCTTCTTTTTTTTAATTAATTTATTTATTTTCATTGTTTATTGTGTTCTGTTTTTCGTCATAATACTTTTGCGAGTTCGTGTTTTCGCATATTCGAGATCGTAAATTCGAGATATCCAATTTGGTATTATTTCATTTATAAGTGATGACTCTAGCGATTATTCCGTAGTCAACTGATATAAGCAATCAGTATATAACTCAGAAACTAAATTATGTCCTTTAAAAACAGTTTGAACTTTGGGTAAAAATATCTAATTGAGTGATCAAAGAAGGAATGTTGATAGTATTTCAATTTATTCGTTCATCAATGAATAATTGTTACATATTTTCTTTCAAATTTATGATTTTTAAGTCGAATAGTGTACTGTCTAATAACGCAAATTCACACATACAATGTAATGGAAAGGTTAAAAATGTTCACGAATGAATAAACAGATTTTGCATGAAGAACAGTTAACCCCGTCTATAATGACCATCTCTGGACTTGCCACCGAGAGGTTTGTGTTTACTGTATTTTTTATATATAGCAGGACTATAAAATTGATGAAATTGAAACAAAGATGCTGGTTGTTTAGTAAAAGTGGTCCCTATGTACTAAGCCGGTTAGAGTGCATATTGGGTGTTCTTCGTAAATAAGAAAGCTAAAAAGGAGCGGAGCTTGCAAAGCGACTGTAGCTTTCTTATTTACGAAGAACATCCAATATGCACTCTAACCGGCTTAGTGCTCCGCCCACTTGCGTTTTATAATATAAAACGTCCAGTTTATATAAAATCTGTTCTATTAAGATTTGTAACCTGAAAATTTGAAAAATCCTCGTCGGTGATTGGCTTAAAACAATTGGCGAGCACTAAGAACCAATGGTGTGTAACAAAAACTTGACATGATCGAAAACACTGCTTGAAGTGAAAATCTTAAGAGTTGTCAACAGGGATAGCGTGCCAAACTCCTTTGTGCATAGCCAATCAAATCACTGCCTTCACAAATTTCACGTGACCATAGGAATCGGCACTTGACTTCATTCATAATGAACGGTAAATAAAAATATTTCAGTAGAAAGTGGTGTTGTTTTTTTTTTGTGTAACGAAAGCAAACGTTATTACGACTTTAATGGAAAAAATGGAACCAAACTTATTCATAATCTGGATACATTTTTAACATTGAACATTTTTATAGATTGCAAACAACCAACCTTTACTTGAATAAGAGTAACAACATGTTATGTAAATGACCGAAAATATCCGTATAATGATACATATGTATAATCTTTTTATTCTCTTTATTCAATTTAAGCAATATATTAGCGAATGGTTATTATTCAATTACATTTACAAGAAAGCAGATAACAATCATGTGTCCTTTTCTGTTTTAAATTCTATCAAATTTTGATATAAAAACTGACTTATTATGGCAGTGTTGTGTGTAGCGAAGGAAAGGAGGACAACTGCGTCGGAGTTGGACGGCATACTCGACTATTCACAATGTGTTTGTGAAATCATGCCTAAATTTTCTATGGAATTATGTACGTTATTACACAGTCCTTTTGATAAAGGCATATATATACATGTTCCGTTTTTTCAGCCATATCTCAATACAACAACGTGATGGTATTTTAGACATTTTACTGTAATTTTAAAGGCACATTATGCCTCAGAAACAAATTTATTGGCAAACTTGTATTTAATAAAGTTAAAAATAATGGTTTTACACCATGTTCGATTCTAGTCATCTGAAGAAATTAGCGATAAATGTGAAATAATTTGTCATAAAAGTAGCAAAATGTAAACAAAGTAGTATTTTCTCTTCCATACAAAATACTTATTCTCTATAACTGTGCTTATCTAATTGACAAAAAGCAACAGATGAAAAAAGTGTTTCAGGTAATTGGCAATGAGTCACTTTTTGGATACTATAAATGCAGCAATATTAAAAAGGTTTTGACAAATAAAATTTAAAGCATTTCTGAGGCAAAATGGGCATTTAGGTCAAATAACAAGAAACGAGAATGCATGACAGAGCTATGTACAATTTGAGGGCAAGTGGTCGTTATTTAAATACTATACCTAAATTGCTTTTAAGGCTGCACGCCTCCAGATGATCCAAAATATTTCAAGAAAATCAATATTGAGAAAAAAGTACTTAACTTTTAAGAAAGGTAAAAAACTTTCAAGGTCCAGGTTATATTTTACATGTTATGTGCGGTTTAACACTCATTTTGCAGTATTTTATCACCATATTTCTCCTGCGTTACTCACGCAGTAAGGACTGTTTTTCCACTTTTTGGTAATTTTCGTGGATTGAAAGTGCCGATTGCAATATGTAAATGACTTTATTTGTTAACCTCACATTATTTTACTTTTAAATAAATTAAACAAAAATATTAATCTTAACATGAATCTGGAGGCGACTTCTTTTAAATGAAAACATGGAGAGGTACAAAAGTGACCTATATGGGACATTGAAGTTTACATGCTGAAGTCGACAGAAAAATCCAATTCTTCTAATAGCATAGTTAAAATACAATAGATTAATAGATTAATCTAAAAAATTAACAAGGAAACGTAACAGAAAAAATAATGAATGTGGCAATTTAAAAAGTGCAATGTCAGTCCGTAAAATCCAGTTTGCCATTAATGAAATTGCCGAGCGCACTAGGGTCATCCGAGCGATAATATTCTGTACAAAGTTCTTTGAAGTATTCTAGATCTACTTTCTTTTCATTGTTCTGAAATATATAAAGATATACATTTTAAATTAATAAAGCTAATGACATATTGTCAGTAATTAAAACAAGAGCTGTCGGTAGGACAGCATGCTCGACTATTCTTAGTGCTTGATAGTAAAAAAAAAATGCCTGATACAGTTACCTCCTCCTGTTTACAGGTTGGGGTCATGATGGTGAACAAGTGTGCAAAGTTTCAAAGCCATATGTCAATGGACTTTGAAAATATTTGAACTATTACAAAAACTTTAACGTAAATTCTAAGTCGAAAAGGGGGCATAATTCTGTCAAAATGCTTGATAGAGTTACCTCCTCCTGTTTACAGGTTGGGGTCATGATGTTGAACAAGTGTGCAAAGTTTCAAAGCCATATGTCAATGGACTTTGAAAATATTTGAACTATTACAAAAACTTTAACGTAAATTCTAAGTCGAAAAAGGGGCATAATTCTGTCAAAATGCTTAATAGAGTTACCTCCTGCTGTCTACAGGTTGGGGTCATGATGTTGAACAAGTGTGCAAAGTTTCAAAGCCATATGTCTATGGACTTTGAAAATATTTGAACTATTACAAAAACTTTAACGTAAATTCTAAGTCGAAAAAGGGGCATAATTCTGTCAAAATGCTTGATAGAGTTACCTCCTCGTGTCTACAGGTTGGGGTCATGATGGTGAACAAGTGTGCAAAGTTTCAAAGCCATATGTCAATGGACTTTGAAAATATTTGAACTATTACAAAAACTTTAACATAAGTGGTTACGCCGACGCCGACGCCGACGCCGACGCTCGGGTGACTGCAATAGCTCTACTTATTCTTATCGAATAGTCGAGCTAAAAATGAAAAGTGTACTTTTAAAATACATGCATAAAGGAAATATGTTCGTAGAAAATAGTGCATGCTCGGAAAGATTGCTAAACCGCTAAAAACCCCGCTTAAAATTGCAACGTAATACAGTAAAACTTTTTCGCTCGCTCGAACTCGGAGTGCCTGTGAAAATTCGTTCGAGACATCGGTAGTTCGAGCCAACCGAGGTTGAACTATTATCACGTAGGAAATTGGCTTTCCAGCTTACATTGGCAGAATGATGCGTATTAATAAACGTCAACATAATTGTTTGTTAGTGCATAAGTTCGTCGAATACGTCATTTCTTGTAAATGTTAAAAATATACATGTATTTTAAACCTTTCGTTTCAAGGACTCACCTGAGAAAACATTAAGAAGGCGTTCTTTGCATCTTTTGGTGGCACTCCAAACTCTGACATCACATATTCATACTCCTCTACGTCAACAAAACCATTACCTATAGACAAAATATCAACCATTGTTAAATGTAATATGCCTTTTATAAATGACACAATATTTTCGTTCATTTAAAAGTTTAAATTTGAAACAAAAATCTTATAGCGTTTATTAAACACTTTGGTCATTTTAACTTCGAGTTTTTTGGCAAGACGCACTGTCCTCCGAAAACAAGGACAACGATGAAACACTTATTACAATACTTTGCTGTCATTTGCTCTTTCTCCTTCAAATATACAAATTGCTTTCAAAAAGCACAACTGCACACAAAGTCCTAAATCTTTTAATTAATCACAAAGTTATGAAAGCAATACTTTCTGAAATTTTTAAAATTTGACCTGCACGTTCAAGGTCGTTTATGGGTCAAAGGTCATATTTATATACAATGGGCACGTAGATGGTATCTCCAAAGATAATTTGTCTACAGCAAGACAGACAGACAAACATACAGATTGGTGAACTATTAGATTACCAACGATTAAAAGATGATAACAACAGAACAGAACACAAACAATTATCACGCTCATGCGCACGCTCAATCGTGAATTCTTGCGCACGAGCGTATGCACAGGCACACAATAATAAACTGCTGTCGACTTACCTGTACGGTCTAATAGGTTAAACTTATATTCCATATATTTATTCAGCCAACCTGGTAATTCTATCGTTATATTTTGATCCTTGCTCTTAGACATTTCCTGAATATATTGCTTGTTGAACGCCTCCCACATTTTGATCTGAAATTTATATCAAAGGGAGGTATTTTCATGTTAAAAATAGAACAATATCGTTAGAGTTGTTCCCCTTGTATTAGATACTATACAAGTACTGCATGAATCCGCTGTCACTCACTACATTTGCGCAATCCTTTGACAATAATTTAAGCATTGAAGACCAACCGATTAAAATTTGTTAATCTTTATTCGCCTTTTTGATATTACTGGTATTTAAGCAATTAAAAAGTGTACTTTTCCATGAAATCTTAAAAAAAACCTCCGTAATTCCGATTTTATACAAAGTTTCATAATGGAAATATGATAAAAATGTATATAAAGAATTTAACAGTAAATGGCGGGTCTTAAGTACATTGTTTATCTATTGTTTTTTATTATTAGTACATGTAGATAATTTAGCACCAAAGCTCACAACCCCTATCTTCTAACACATAACATATTTTTGGGGAAACAATAATAAAATTATTAAATAGTTTTATTACTCAAGGTTCATTTATAACAAATTTTGTATGATTAAAATATTGCAACGAGTAAATAACATTAAGCATGCAGTTAATATCATACATACAGGGTCACGTGCCAATTTGTACAATGTATATGTTTCTGATAAAATAACCGTCATTTACTACTTCTAATTAAACAAGGATATTTTGAAATCAATAATTGTGCATTCAAACGTATGTATGAATCCTATTCTTATTTTCAATGAGGTAATCTGAAGACCTTTATAAGCTTTATAGCTTTCGGCTCAAATACTTTTTCATTCGTATATCTACTTATTGTAAATGTATTAACAACATGTTGTATCATTGTTTGAAATAAACTATGTTTAAACTAATTTGATTATAAAGTCGTGAAAAACGTGCCAATTTTGTTTCTCAAACATACCCATTCCTCCTCAGAGATTTTACCGTCATAATCTACATCACCGTCATCCTGAAGTTTTCTCCAGATCTCTTTAAATAACTCGTGCACTTGTAAATATCTCTGAGCCCCGGGCTTCCAGCCGCTCATGTCACATATTTTCTGCAAATTATTATGGTAAGGGTTGTCATTAGCAGCATGCTTATATTAATGAAAATTTTGAGAATTTATCAAAAAGTAAAATTTTATAAAGCGCGAACAAAGAACGTAATTTATACATTGCAAACGACACTTACAATCTTCGTATACACGTATTACTAAAAAGAAGTCAAAATATGCTAAAAATAGCCCTACCTGCGTTAGTCACGCAGTAGAAATATGTTGATAAATAAGGCAAAATCAGTTTAATTAGTCGCAAATGACATGTAAATTATTACTTGCATATTGAGTTTTTCAACTTTTCTTTAAGCCTTAGTACATTTTTCTTAAGTTGATTGTCCTGAAAATAGTTTGTCTCACCTGGAGCCAAGCGGGTTTAATATCACATGATATGCGTGCTAGGAACTTCGATTAAAGTTTCTGTAAACATTTTGTTACCACCTCTTACCTTAGTAAAGCGTTTTAATTGTGACGATCATAGGCGCGGACAATGTGTGATGACATAGGTTAGATATTTTTTTATATTTCACTCTGTTCAATAATACATATTAAGTCAGTATTAATATATGCTAGGAAAGTAACCGGAAGTGTTAATATAATAAATGATATATCCACCTGTCTGGCCATGTCGAAGTCTTTCCATTCTAATGTACCATCTCTACTCAAATCTATATATAAAAGACGAAAAGACATATTTATTATAAAAAAAGAGAAAAAAAACAAAGAAGAAGAAGAAGAAGAAGAAGAAGAAGAAGAAGAAGAAAAAGGAACATGGATAAATGACCTTGAAAGAATATGGGTAAAATCATCGTCGGATACTCTGTGCCGAACCATAAACATTTATTTTACATTTTAATCCACCGTGGGTATCCAGCAATGGGGTAAAATGATCCCGGCTATAAATCGCTATTATTTTTATGAAATTATCAAAGTACTGAAAGTACTACAAAGACTGACAATACTGCATTTATTACATGCACACGTGTGACCAGGGCCGAGAGATGATTGGATGTCATTGAGAATATAAATAGCGATAACGATTATGAAATAATTCTGATAAGAAAACTGAGATTTAGTATGAAAATTTGAAAATTATCAAGAAATGTTGGCGGATATTTTTCTGGAGCAGACGTATCGATCCAGTTGTAAAGAGGCGGTCAGAATTAAAAAAGTATTTTGTTCCATTTATGTTACGTTTTAAGAGATCATTTCCATTTTGTATGATTTATTTTGCACACCAGACTGACAAAGGTGAAAGTTCATTGATACTTAAGGTAATTTTAAGGACAAAGTTGCAAATAAATCTAATGGGCAGTATTTCCGTTCATAGTAAGTTATTGACAGAGTAATGTCCCTTGAATGTTTACTAGACAGACACCGACTGCGTAAAGTGGTCAGTCAGTGAACAGACATACTTTGCGTTTCTTGATACTTTGTACCATTTTAGCTGAAGATTACGGTAATGCTGCAATGATAGAATAATGTTAAATACGAAAGACCTGTAGGGACATTTCAACTTCATTAATTTTAGATTTTATCTTCATGAATTCCCGATTTCATCCACATGAATTCCCGATTTCAACTGCACGAATTAAAAAGTTCAAATTCATAAATTCACTATTTCAACTTTATGAATTCACGATTTCAACTTCACGAATTCACGATTTCGGCTTCGAGAATTCACGATTTCAACTTCACTATTTCAACTTCATGAATTCACAATTTCAACTTCATGGATTCGAGATTTCAACTTCATGAATTCCCGATTTCATCTTCATGAATTCACTATTTCAACTTCATGAATTCACTAGCTCAACATCACGAATTCATGATTTCAACTTCACGAATTCACGATTTCAACTTCACGATTTCAACTTCGTGAATTCACGATTTAAAATTCATGAATTCATGTTTCAACTTCACGAATTCACGATTTCAACTTCACGAATTCGAAATCGTGAATTCGTGAAGTTCAAATCTTGAATTCGTGAAGTTGTCCCCATCGGTCTTTCATACGTTTATGCTTATATTAACTTACTTATACATAACGAGCATCTTTAAACAGCATGCCCCATTTATGTCAAATTTTCATGAAAGTTTTAAAAAAGTATTTAAAAGTAAATATCGTAAGGTGATCAAAAAACGTAATTTAACATTCCATACAGCACTTTTTAATCAACGTACGAAATAAATGTCAAATAATGCAAAAAGTCTCACAATAGTTAAAGTATGGCGACAAATACTACACAATCAGTCATTACATAAATCTTGTAAATCATTACTTCATTAATGAATATGTTTTTTTTTCTTAAAATCTTTGTATATTTTTCTCAAAGTTGATTTTCTTGACTTTTTGCTCATCTGGAAGAACACAGCTTCAAATAGACAGAAACCAATGTAGTTAAAATAAACACAAGAATCCGATCCGTTGACAAATAACCTTTAAAGGTCTTACATGTACTAAAGGCTTTGACTACTTATGCCGTGCGGTGGAAGTATTTAAGAGAATTAAGAAGAAATTACATGTTTACTTACCGAAAAATGTGTGGAACTCGTACAAAAGTTTTTTGCGCTGAAATTCGGATAACTCCGGCTGAAAGAGACCTAACACTAGTCCCATGTTTCGACCTTTACGACGAAATGCGTCAGCAACTGAAAAAGAAACAATGTATTATAATCATTGTAGTTTCTCTAATTTTGATTAATCTTTGAATATGAAAAATATAAGTGAATTTCCTCTCAATCGTAGATATTCGGCTCTTTCCGCAATACCCCGTAAACATACGGCGCGGAAAAACGTCAAGAAGTAACGACACAGATGCAAATACAAGTCATTAAGAAGCAGAAATGAGGAAACACTAGTTTGGCAACACATTTTTTGAGATTTGTGTATATTTTGTGTTTGGTCATTCGCTTACGCCATCATTATTTTAGTCAAATAAAATAACCCATTTAACAAAAGCGTCTTTTAAAGGAATTACAGCCTTATACTATGATTATTTTTCAAACAATTTATCAACAGTACTTCATAAAATTTAGCACCAGCCCTGCCACAACAACAACGACGATGAAAACAACAATTACAAAGTTGTAGCCCGGAGATTTATAGAATGATTGATGGACTACTTTGACACCTATGAGTCCCTGCAGACATCATTTTTTTCTGGCTATTTAAGGCGTTTGTTACAGTTGTCATAGAGATATTTTTTATGAGTAAGACAGAATAAAAAATTGTTTCACATGATTTGTATGATTTTTTCCTATGATTTTAGAATATGAAAAAAAAAAAAAGAAAATGGAACCTACCACGTTGTTTTTGAATTTTCTGTCCTTAAATTTGAATGTTTAACAAACTAATTAATAGACAACACAATAAATTTACATCAATCGGATTGATATTAATGAATAAAAATTGTAAAACAATCGTCCAAGTTTAAGCCTAAGAAACGCATGTGATGCAATGCCATCATCAACATAACCCCATCGCTCGACTTAAGTTAATAAGGTTTATTCAATATCTTTTTTTGCTCTGATTTCAAGATATCAGAAATTAAATGATAAACCAGATGTTGCCGTATGTTTTTTTTCTAGTCTATAAGAATGTTAATTAGACGCTGAAAGGTATTGTATGACATAATGTCAATCCGGCGACAAGATAACGGTGTGAAATCAATATAACCACTTCATACTTCTTCTAAATAGGACTCATCACTGACATTTCGTTTGAAATAATTGAGAAATTGCCTAATATACTGTATTCTTTAAACAATTTTATAGAACTTTAATATGAATATACATGTATATCATTTATCTATGTCCCATTTAATTTAGAAGATACCTTACAGCAGCACGCCTCCAGATTCTTGCTAATGTTCATATTTTCTTTTAAAATGAATTAAAAATATTGTGAAGTGAACAAAGAAAATGATATACACATTGCAAACTGCATTTACAACCCATGTCCATTACAGAAAGTGGTAAAAATATGCAAAAATACCCATTTCTGCTTTAGTAACGCAATAGAAATATGATGAAAAATATTGTAAAATCGGCCATTTATCGCAAAAAAAAAACCCATTGAATTTATTAATTGTCTATTTAATCTATTTTTTTTTTTAAATTCTCACTAATTACATTTTTCTTAAATATTATTTTCGTGAAATATAATTTGGCTTTTCTGGAGGCATGCAGCTAAAAAAGAGAGTCTAAGTATCACACAAAGTGTAAAGCTATAAATAGATTAAAAGAGCTTCATTTCCGGTATAGACATCTACTGATGAAAAGTAAATATTTATTATGACTTATGGAAATAAATAAATGAAAAGGTGTTAAGAATAACAAGAGTTTCGTATTATCACAGAGGAAACACTAAACGCCACTTAAGTATCTCTTTGTTTAATATTTACTTCAGACGACAACGTCTTTTACAGGCCTTTTTATTAGTCATTGATTTACCTGTCTACTTCCGGTTACTGTATTTCATCGATTTCCGGTTTGAATGTTAGCCATTAAAATCCACTCATTTATATATGTATGCAAGCGACGATTATTCTAAACATATAGCACAGGATAGTTTTCCAATAAAGAATGACTTAGTTATTAATACATTTAGATGACATTTATATTTCCGCCAATATATAGTTCTGTACAACAGAGTTCATTGACTATCACATATGTGCCCCGAAGTAGTAACCGTTCAATTCTAGGTAACTATACAGGACATATATGCTCACGAGTATCGTATCTTTTTTGCAGCAGTGATTGAATAGCAGGCAAAGATCAAACAACAATATTTAGTATTGTAAAACGTACATGGTTTGAGAGCACTTTATTTACATTTTAATAAAATCTTGATTTACAATTTACATATTTTACATTATTTTGACCCCCTTTGACAAAATTCAAACTTAATTCTCAAAAGAGGCACATGAAAATTTCTGTCGAAAGCTAAGACTGCGTTTAAGACTGTTGATTTTAAAAGAATGACGGAAAGTGTATACAAATAAAAAGGTCAAAACTTATATTGATCAAATCTCTAAGAATATTGTTAACCCCGAGAAAACACGCGATTTAGTTTCAGGTTATACTAGCGTTATAAACTGGTGAGAATTCGGATACTCTCGTCAATTTTCTGCATCACATTAACGTCATGTAAGCATCGAAATAACACGGAGCAAAATAATTCTTGTCATTTAAAAGCTCTATAATGATAAACATCAGATACGGAAAGTGTCGAAGTTAGTCGGATTATTACGAGTTCTATAAATAAACGTACCGCGATAGAAACAGACTGTACAGTAACTCGTATATATCCTCGTTTTGAGTGACAAACAAACAGCTGTTGTCATTAAAGTAAAATAATATTGATGTTTGTTGTAACTATCAGGAATATAAATTGTACCCACAAGCTGTTACATCGGTAATGATCGACAATTTTCGCAAAACTCCGAGCTGTTACATCGATAATGATCGGCAATTTCCGTAAAACTCCGGGATCGTTTGGTCTAAACACAATTATTACCATTCCAACTTTAGACTATAATATTTTTTTTTAATTTTAATTTTCGAATGTTAAAAAATTGACATTCTTTGCAAGTTATTATGTCATTTAAACGCAGGGTGGGAGTAGGACGGCTGACACATTCCTAAAGGCTATACCATACTATTTATGTATTATTTATTCATTTTTTTATTACTCATGTGAATATAATTTATATCAAGTCTCCCGCTGGAATATAAAATTTAAATGATCAGTTGCCTTTCACTTGAACAAACTTATATTTTTTTTCCATCACATAAGCTATATATATTTTTTCAACCACATAAGTATTATTCGTTGTACGCTAGAAAAGTCTCGAGGTTTCGGATATTACAAAAGTCTGAAGCGTTATTGACAATGTTGAATAGTAAGTTCGAGACAGAAAACACACGTAATGCACACAATGCTATAGATCTAAATAAGGCGATTCAATCAAGCGTTTCGCGGAAGTATAAACGCTAAGGACATCCGATTATACGAAATTTGAGAACTTCTAATTTGAGAAAGCCTTATACAATCATGTCTGAAACGTAACTCTTGACATATTTTAACCATATCGGAACATCCTCGGCTATAATCAATTATAGTCCGTATCCGAAGACTGACGGAAAGGGCCGAAAAGTTGCGTTTGATTTTAACCATGATGATTCAGATACAAAATATAGACTCATTATTCAAGTGTTTTACGTAAATTTAGAAGATTGGTATACGCAACACGTTTCACAAGTTTGTATTACAAATGGATAGCTTTATTTTTGCAATGAAATATGTAAACAAGTATTGAAGTTATTGAAACATGTCACCCATCCACCGTCATAGAAAAAATTATCCGAAATATAATCTATCCGAAATAATATGCATTCAAAGTAAAATCCATCCGAAATAAAATCTATCCGGGATAAAATTATCAGAAACTATGTACTCACATCTTCCAAAAAATCCTTTCTCTTCCATAATGTTTTCTTTTTTCTTCACTTTGTATCGCTCTGTTGTGTATAACCACTCGAAACACATGGTTTTGTTTTGATTAAAGGACGTTACACTGATATATTAAAGCTCGAGAACGCTGTCCATTTATCAAAGGCCCATTGAAATATTTCACTGAAAAAAACATATAAATAGATAAGTTAAAGTCGATACATCTGAAATGAATATGTGATATCTATGGACTTTTTCACTATGTTTTTTCGTCGACGATATTTTCACCTATATTTTTATGTATAAAGCGGTAACTTTTTTACTTGTCCACAAAATAAAGTCTTAGTTTCTATTGATCCTTTGTGATAAAGGCCTTCTCTAAATAAAGGCCATCTCTGAATAAAGAATAGATGTAGAGAGACCATGTCAATAAACACAACCTCTTTCCTATTTAACAACAAAACACTTTACAGACAATCTTAAGTAAAGCTATGGTGTCCTGGCAGTGCCACAGGCATCGTAGTCATTTGTGCCAGAAAATCTACACGCGAAAAAGCAAAGTTTCATAATTGCAATGCAAAGAGATTTTTGACACTGAAAAAAGACGCTCGGCATGCGACAATGCGACAAGATTATAAATTGCGACATCATATCATATTACCGAGCATAAGTAGCATCAACTATCGATTTCAAAACATGACTGTCGATGTTGTCAATGACACAGTTAGGATTCCGTAGCTGAATTCTTGGTTTTCTTTAATGTCCCTTACTAAAACTATCAACAATATGTATTAACATCGGTTAGATGTTAGATGAATTGCTCGATTCACACTCCAATGCTGTACCTATTGAGCTAACCAGACGGCTTTTTCTATGTAATATACCTAACTATGTCAGCACAACTTCCATCTTTAAATACCACTTTTAATTTAACTGTTACTGTCATCAATAAGATATAAACCATATTTCACTTATAAAATGAAAAATATCCTCTAAACTAGAATTAACATAACTACACCTTTGAAAACCATGTTTAATGTAACTAATACTAACAACAATGAAATATAAGCCATATTTCTCTTATAAAACGGGACAAAATTAAATATTCACCAAAAAAATAAATAAATAAGCAAAAAGAAATCGGTACATCTAATATGAATTAATGATATGTGATATCTATGGTTTTTTTTACTTTATTTTCATCGACGATATCTCAGCGCGGTAAACTTATATCATTTGTGTATTTGAGCCACCGGTTGCCCATATGGGCGAGTCCTCCAGAAGAGTATTAGTCATTTTATTTTTTTTGAAGGATATTGCAAGATACAGATACAGAAAGATTCCCCAATTCCAGAAGCTGTCCCGGGTTCTTTAACGTGCCAAGTTTTTTTAGCACTCATACACGGGATCTCGATTTAAAGTCTCATCCGAAAGACTGATTAGTAATTTTAGTTGGCCAGCCCGGGAATCGAACCCACAATGTCGAGATTACAAGTCTCGCGCTCTAACTGAGCGGGTTAGTAAAAAACTAATATCAGCGCAACTTCCACCTTTAAATACGATGTTTAATTTAACCATTATTGTCATGTTACTGCCCCCTGGCGGCGACGAGTCATTGTCTGCTAATGTTGTTGTCGACGAAAACTCTATGAAATTTCCTCATTTTTTACGTCGTGATTTACTCTTCATATGCTGTCCCCGCCTAAAGATCTTTTATAAAATACGGACAACATATTATGGAAATCAAATTGAAGAACCGTGTCAGTGTATTATATGAGAAAATACATTGCTGGTTTATCGCAGACTGGATATGACAGAGTATTAACATTTTATATTTTAAAGGCACATTATGCCTCAGAAGTCCAAGTTTTTTTTTATTCTTTGAAAATGTCAAACATGTGTTTAATAATGTTTAAATAATGGATTAAATATTAGCAATTTATATTTTAAAGGAGCTGCACTGAGGTCTAAAAACGTAAAACCATATTATTCTTAGTCCGATTCGGGCGAAAAAGCGTTGCAACGCTTTTCAATTTTGGGCATTTTATACAATAAGAAAACTTATTCTGATGATAGAAACGGAGTGAGTGAATGATCTTATATTTTGCACACAGGTTATTAGTCTAGACCTACATCAAATGAAACATTAACATCCAAAAGTCCTGTCATGTCAAAAACCTCAGTGGAGTCCCTTTAAATTCTAAAATGTGTTGAACATATTTTTACCGCCATTATTTACTGTATAATATAATTTCGTTGGTTTGTTACACAGTGATTTATAGAAATATAAAAATATTTTTTGTTGCATGTATAATATTTGTACAATATGAACAGAAAAAGCGTACATATAGGTTGCCGGCGAATTTAAAGGAAATTGGCAAATTTTAACGAACATCACCGAAATATTGTCGTAACTGATTTGAAAGAAATAATTTTAACGAACATTCTCGAAAATTGTCGAACCTGAGTTAAACGAAATCATTTTTTGTTTTGTAACACATTATCATTTTAAAAATAGCTTAATAATTAAAATAATTTCAAAATAAATGCATAATTAAACACGGCTTTAATTACAGTCGTAAATTAAATAATAGCTGAAATATTGTGCGGAATGCATGTGGGTAATTAGTTATCTATAAACATACATGTTTCCATAAATAACATATAAATCCATATATACTATACCATTACTATTAAAAAGAGGTAGTCCAGCTGTCGCAGGTTAAAAACATACGACTGAAAAATGAACTCATTTGATCAAAGTGATAGATTAAAGGCCCATTATGTTTCAAAGATGTTATTTTTCTATTTTTCCAAAATCTTTTTATTATTGCTGTTCTGTTTCAGAGAAGTTACTAACTGGCCTATGACTCAACAAGTAAGTGCATCATGTAGGTTCCGAAAATAGTATGAAATATATTTACAAGGATAGACGCTTCATAACAATATTTTGATTTTTGAATACATATAGAAATACTTCAGACAGTTAATGCAAGGTGTCACCCTTTTGCTAAATTTTAATTTAAGGTTCCTAAGAAAAAACCACTGCAGATGACTACATCAACCGACAATCGAGACACCTCGGCTATTATTCATAATCGGAAGTATGACGAAAATGGCCGAGAAGATGCGAGTGAATCAATAGGCGCGTCCTTAAACCATTATGTAATTTACATGTTTTTACATCAGTCCGGCGATATTAATTTTTGAAATGCGGGATTATGAATGGTGTATGTACAGTTTCATGTTGTATGGGTTGTACATTATGTTACATTACGTTTACATTAACGTCATGCTTACGTTACGTTGTAATTTTGCTTGTTTAATTGGGTTTTACGTCACACCGACACAGTATAGGTCATATGGCGACGTTCTAGTTTTACTGGTGGAGGAAGACCTCTGATGGCCTTCCGTGCATTATTTCAAGCACGAACAGGCACCTGAGTATAACCACCGACGTTCCGTAAGCTAGCTGGATAGCTTCCTCACATGAAGGAATCCAAAGTTCCTGTCGGGATTCGAACCAACAGCGGTGAGGGGCAAATTGTTTGAAGTCAACGACCTTAACCACTCGGCCACTGACGCCCTTTACGTTGTTATGTATGATAATTGTGAACTTTTTTATTATAGATAGTATGTGTATAATTAATTTTCATGTTGAATAAGATAATAGGCTTTTTTACGTTACGTTTACATAAACGTCACGTCTACGTTAAGTTGTTATGTATGTTTATTAATTAACATAAATATGTCAGCATTTTAGCTATATTCAGTTTTGACTTAAGTCAGAATCAGTTGTATAACCGTCGGCGGCGGGCTCCAAAATTGAGGCACAGCCTAGGAATCGAACACGAAATGTCCAGAACGGAAACCCTCTGTACTATCAAACGCGCTAACGTGATTATATGTTACGTTACGTTACGTACGTTACGTAAAGAATTTATGTTTACAGTCATTATACTCTCTTCCTCGTCCTCCCTTTCTCTTGTACACAAAACATTTACTCTTAATCCGTTTGCTCAATAACCATTTCATGATTTCAATAAATTCTTTACACATAATAAAACAGCATATTTATTTACACAACTTATATTGTTTACGGTTACACACATCAAATAATAGATTATTTAGATATACCCCCTATGTCTGTATATAAATAAGTATTATTTATCAAATAGAAAAGCCTAAAATTATACAATTTTCAAATGTTTTTCACAATCTAAAATTGACATTTAAAATAGGTTCTCTTACCTGGTTTGTGCTGATACTCCGGTGTGGATTGATATCATTTAATTTTCCAGCATATATCAAACCATCCCGATGTTCACAATAAATTATTTACAAATAATATTTTCTAAAAATAGTACATACATGTATATACACATACACGATATAATTTCAATTTGTCAACGATTGTTCATTAAAATCCTTCACCCGTAACGGAGCAAATTGATTTGTTAATGGTACAAAAAAATCAAACTAAGTTTTCCTCTCGTTTGATTTAATTATGCCCTTTTTTAGGGCATTGTCTGTTAAGTCCAGCTGGTTTTTGTGGCGACAGTTTTTATCCTGAGTGTCCGATAATAACGGCAGTTAATGTCCATCTGGTTAAATATGCAAAAAAAAATAATAGCTATTTTCCTTCCTTATTCCGTTCTTTTATGATACTGTATTTTACCCAGTGAAAAAAGTTATCAACCGGTTAATTATTGTACATAAATGTGTAATGACTGGAATGCCAATATAATACATCCTTGAGCCATTTAGGTAAAATTTTGTTTGTTTACCGTGTATTAGTACATAATATATTATTCAATTACTTATACGCTGACAAAGTAATTTAACAAAACACATCCGTAAACTTCAATAAGATTGCACAAGTCGTGTATATAATGTTATGTTTGTTATATATATCAGATTGTTAAAATAATTTCTACTGTATATGTATATTTGTACACCACGCATGACCGAGCGTTAAATAATTTTCCCGTTTTTAATTCAGATAAACAGGACATTTGAATGGGATTTTGGTTTTTGTTGATCTTACACATTTGTTAATCGCAAGTTTCAATTGATTTATTTTTACCATTGTATGGAACGCCGTGACTGTCTTATGCTATCAACGTTTTTACTAACTTGTGAAATGATGATATTTTTTTGTCATTTTAGCATACTAACATGTGCAATTTACATCATATCTTGTCTAAAGACAACAATGACTTGTACAAACAGCATGTTACCTTGTCAAATAATCATTATGACATGTGCAGACAACATGTTAAATTGTCAAATTATTATGATGACATGTGCAGACAACATGTTAACTTGTCAAAATATCATGATGACTTGTGCAAACGACATGTCGTTCGCACAAGTTATCATTACATTTTGACAAGTTACCATGCCATTTGCATGTCATCATTATTCTTTGGCAAGTTAACATGTTGTTCGCACAAGTCATCACGATACTTTGACAAGTTAACATGTTGTCTGCACATGTCATCATAATAATTTGACAAGTTAACATGCTGTTTGTACAAGTCAGCATGTTCCTTTGGCAAGACATGATGTAAATTGCACATGTTAACATGCTCAAACGACAAAATAATGTAATCGTTTCACAAAATAAAAAAAAACATTGATGACATAAGACAGTCGCGGCGTTCCATACCATTGGGTATACCTCATAATCTACTATAGGGACAACCTTACTATGGTGGTTGATTTGTGACATGATTTGTGCCATCCGTGTTTCTGCCCCGTGACCCCGAGACGAGAATTAAAAAGTTAAAATTACGGGGGCACGAAGCGAAAACATGCTTATTATCAGGGACGTGGTGCAAAGTTTAAGAAATAAAACTTTCAATTCGCGCCCTGACATTTTTTTTCAGCTCCGCGCCCCGTTGGGCGAAGTTTTATTGATTTAACTTCGCCTCGCGTCGTGCTCATTAGCATGTTTTCACTCCCCCCCCCCCCCCCCCGCTATTTCAAGTTGTTAGCTCTCGACTTTTCGCTTCGCCGGGTCGCGGGGCGAAAACACGAATGGCACAAAATAGTCACAATACTTTATGCCTCTCATCGATTGAAAAATGTTTTGTTTTAGATAGAATATCAAGTTTGAGAAATCTGGGCAGACAGTAAAGTCTTCACTGGAGAATATGTAAACATTCAAACTCAATATAATGCCATTCACTGGGCAAATAATATGATGATTTACCATCATATTGCTATCAATGTATATAAATAGACCTGCAGAGTAAGGAATACAAAAAAAAATATTATCTCTAAACATTCATGCGGGTTGTGAAATTATATATCACTTTCTTGAAACTTTTATTAAAAGAATAACTAAAAATGTGGGGGAAATACGAACAGAGTCGCTCTAAAATAAATACATTTGTGTTTTTTTAGCTTGAGTATACGAAGCATATGTGGAGCTGTAAAACCCCGATTTCAGACTTAAGTTTTTGTGTAAATAAATATTTCTTTTACTTTAACTTTATTTTTTATGAATGAATTATTTTTTTCCATTAAAGCTGTGTTGCTTCTATCGTTAATAGTTACAGGTCACGTATCACCTTTCACAATGCACGAACTATTTACAGACCCGCCTACCAGTAATCATAAAGAAGTTGTTGGGACCAAATCTATACCATAAAAGGGACCCCACTGAGGTTTTTCGACATGATGGGGCTGAAAATATTTTACCAGATAAACGTACCATTTGATGTAGGTTTAGAACACTAATCTTTGTGCAAAATTTCAGATCATTCGCGCACTTCGTTTTTCCAGAAATTTTATTCAAATTGTAAAAAACTGACCCAAACTGAAAAAAAACAAAACATTTAAACGCTTTTCACTCAAATTAGGCTAAGAAAAGCATAAAAAATCAATTTTCAAATTATTTCAAAGTATGTTTATTTTTGTAAGAAATTTAAATGTTATGTTTTTAGACTTTTAAACCTCAGCAGAGTCCCTTTAAGAGCATTGTTTTTGCTGAATCATGAATTAAAGTAACGGATGCATGTATATGACAAGATAGATGAGTTTTCTGTAAACAGTGGTTTATTATGTCATTAGCAATGAACACTTATTTAAGTAGATGCTACGGAATGAGTCTATGAAAAAAAATTGAAATATATGTAGTGGTAATAAAATATATAATGTACATGTATCTTAACATTTACCTAAAACAATTTGTATCCAATATAATTATTATAATATTATATATTGGTCACAGCTGTTTGTGATGTTATGTAATGATATGTTTTAGTGTATTAATATAAGCAACTGGATACATAGTTGAATTAAACCGTTTATTGAAGCAATATCAGGTCTAGAGGCATTGATTTAAAGGGCCAATTCGGGGCCGAAATTCGGCCACATTCCTCTCCACAGAAAGTATACAACTACATGTATATATTTTCCCCATATTTCTGAGAAAAAAAAAAACAATAAAAAAAACAAACATAAAATATATATGTATCTATATGTTTATGTGACTACAATATTGTTTGTCACATTTTGAGAACTGGGGACGCTATGTTTTGAACGAAGTCGTGTTTTCCGTAATTCGAATAATTATTTCACGGGGGAGAATCACGCCGTTCGTTACCAAAACAAACAAGATGGCAGATGCGGTCGAAAAGTAGGTTTTTCCTTTTTTTTCTCTGAAATTTGTGTTGTTATAGTATAAAAGTACATATAATAACCTTCTCCACAATTTTCCGGGCAGCACAGGATTTTATTTCATGATTTTTTGTCCCGTACTTCATCTGAAATGCGCGTCACCAGATTCGAAGCGAGATAATTTCCCACCAGTTTGATCGTGGTAACGTACGGCTTCTTCTATAAAATGCACTGTTTCTTTTACATATATGTATTTTAATTGAAACTACTGACTATAAAAAGTTCTAATATGTCTTCATCTTAGAATTTATGTGCATTCTGGCTAGAACAACCGCTGTAATATTAATATCGGGGCATTTTACAAAAAATGATAACGTATGGCGCAAAAAATATCAGTGATAACGTACGGCGCATTTTCTACTTGGTTGATTTCCATTTGTCCGGTCAGCTCATAATGAATTAATTGTATGTAGGAAATGATAGAAACCTGAATAAAATGTTTGTCAGTTCAGAAATAAATTTCAATGCTTCACAATTGGGTATAAATATCAGTCTAGCTTGGGGCGTTATAGATATTCGTTGTTAATAAACACCAATTAAAACACACATGTACAGTTTGAAAATATGTTTGTATAAAATGCAGAATGGAAAGAAAAGTCTACACTTTCAGGAAACATTGTGTATGGTTGTCTTCAATTTAATTTTCGCAATTATGGTCTCATCCCTTTATTAGAATGAAGAAACGCATTCAGCAGAGCAGAAATGTTAAAAAGGTACGGACACCTAGACATATTTTCTTTTCAAAAGAAAAAGTCTAGTAAAATAATTTCTTACAAATTTAAGGTAATCTTAATATTTGAATTGCATCAAACATGAACAAAACAAAAAGTGATTGCGGCCAGCTTACATTTAAATGAGGTGACCCTGTATTTATTTAATATGGTCGCTCATTGAATGAAAAATACATAACAGAGAATAACGAATGAGTGTATGTTCTATATTAAATTCATTGAATGAGTTAGAAAATAATGTTAAGCGAAAAAGCGCATTAACTTCAGTAAATAAGAAATTTCCTGTTTATTTGACGGGCGGTTAATATTAAACGCTTTCATTTAGCGTGACGTTGCGCCACTATGACGTCAGATATATTTGCACGACAAAGCCATACAGTTTTTTTTGTTGTTATTATAAATGGAAGGAACGTCATAATTTGATCAAAACAATAACATGCAATTCTTTCATATCGTATTCTGGCGGGTTTTTTTGTACAAAAACGCCAGAACAAAAACAATCAATTTCTTATAAAAAAAACTTTATTTGTCATCCAATGAAAACGCTGTATTTCTTAGAAATACGTTGTGTTAATTTTCATAGATTAACATTCGATGCTATATCAAAGTACGTTTATAGTAGCCTTCTATTTGTCATAGTGCTTGTCGTAAAAAAAGTTATAGTGGCGTAATAAGTGAATATTAATGAAGTCAAAAAGTTTGACACTTAGTATGTGAGTATTCATCCATAGCTTTCTACAGAAATTAGAAACATTCTCCTGTCGATATCGCTCCGTCAAAGTTTTTTTTTTATTTCTGTAGAATAACACGGAATGTGGCGCCGTTATATGTCGCAACGCCGCTAAATGTCTCACTTGCCGCTTTATGTCGCACCATTGCCGCTAAATGCGCAACCGCCGCTAAATGTCGCAAAATCATTTGCCGTTAAATGTCGCAATGTTAAAGTTAAATGTCGCACGGATTTCTCCTACCGTTAAATGTCGCAATACTGTCGTTAAATGTCGCAAGATGTTGAACTCGAGTTTTACTATTGTATTATATCAATTAAATTTGCCTACTCAAGACGAATTATGTCTGTTTGAAAACAAGTGGTTTTATCATTTATGGAAATGCAC